AGTTACCCGTAATCACATGATAATACACATTTCATAAATTGTTGCTTTTTCGTATGTGCTATGAACAACAAGCAGCAGCATGACTCAGACAAGAGTCAGGAGCCTATAGTTTCTTCACCACTTGTCCAGCCATGGCTTTGTCGGCTCTGCAGCCTTGATCATAAAGTCTCTGGCAACAATGGCACCTAAATGAGCCGGTCTTTAAGGGGTTTAATGGTAGCTCTTGGTTGTTCCCAGGAACCAGAGGACTGCAACAAAAAAACAATCATAACTCAATACAGACTCTTCCTGCAGTTCACACATTTTTTGTTCATGTTGTTCAAAGCTAACGTTGGATACCTAAGAATCTCTGAGAAAAAATGATAACGCTAACATTTAAGCTTTCCTTTGTTACTCTATCATAATGTGTACAAAAAATGCAGGGATTTGTTCTGTATTTAGTAATGCTTTGTCCTGATGTTTATGCTTTTAAGCGTTTAAGCTTTTTTGTGCTTGAAATGTTTTTTTCATTAATGTTTTTCCTCTACAATCCAATAACTGCTATGAATCTAATCACAGCCATAAGCTTTTATTTTTGCAAATATCACAAGTAGTCACCATGGTGTCAAGGAACACAAATCCCAGGATAATCTTCTACCACTGTGTCTTTTGTTAACCCTCCTATTGTCCTCTGGTCAAAATGATCTGCCACTGTGTTAAAAACCGAAAAACAAAACCCTAAATGATATTTTTTCAACTTTGAATTTGATGACTTTTCCTAGATTGACCCCAACATTTGAAAAAGTGAATTGTTGCCTTTATTTATATTTCCATGTAACCTGTACAAAAAAAGGTACAAATATTGTCTTTGGGTCAAAATGACCCCACAGTCAAATTGAGTTGAAATCACAGTCACAGAGTTAGTTACACACCACAGATTGTGAGAATGTTTTAGTTCTGTCTCAGATCAGTCGATAGCAGACATAAACAAGACAAGACAGGTGGTCTTCTCGCAGACTGCACTGCCTGTGACCCGATCTGACCTAAATGTAACATAATGCCCCTTTGTCTGTGTGGACTCCCAGAGGCTATAAAGGTGCTACAGATGACACTACCCCAAATTCTCTCTGTGCTGAAGCCATAAGTGTGCATTATAACATTGAACAGGCTCTAGAGCTGATTTTTTCAGATGTCCAACTAGATAACCCTGATTCAGAAGAAGAAGATGGGGAGGAAAACAACCCAGAGCATAATGAATAATCTTCAGAAGAAGAAGAAAATCCCTGAAGCTGAGAGAGAGACTTTCCTTTCAAAAAATGTCAAAATAACATGGTCCCTGGCAGCATATGACAAACACAACAGGGCGGCAAAACAAAAGGTCATGAGGATGACCCCAGGACCTATAAAATATGTCGTTTCTCATGCCCATGACATTGTCTCATTCTCCCTGTTCATCACACCAGCAATAGAAAGAACAATCCTGGAGATGACAAATCTGGAGGGTTTTTACAAATATGGCGACAGCTGGAAAAGGATGGATGAGACTGACCTGCATGCCTACTTAGGGCTGCTATTCTCAGAATTCAAAACTAATTTTTGCACATTTCTGTTCTTTCTTAAGCTATAGAAATACTATACAAATATTGCTTACCACCTATAAAATAAACAATAATACAATTGACAGTGTCATAGCAACGAGTGTTGTCTTAAATAAATGCAGTCCTTCTGCCAGGTGAAGAGGGAAGACTTAGTTATTCACACAATTTGTGGTGAATGACAAGTTGTTTCTTCAAGTAAAATGAGAAATGGTGTTTAAAATTCAATTAAGCTGCTTATATTGAAGGTTTAGTGAAGATGGGTTATTTTGACCCGGGGTGTATACAGAATATGAGGACAACAGGAGGGTTAAGTTATCCTCAAAGGCTTTCACAAAGTGTGACTTAATCAGCCTCTGGAGCAGTTGAGACTACATCTGTAACAAGAACTTAAAATGGTTTGGAAATATCACATCTTTAGTTAATTGGATTATCAGAGGTCCTCCTAGCAACAGACAGAAAATAGCAATGACAACATAACCTATTTGTATGAGGGTTAGGTCCCAACAGATTACTTTCTGTCTAGTACAAAAGACCATTAACTAAACTCCTTTTCTTAACTTTTGAATGGGAACTGAAGTTTGTTGCTTGTTCAAATCCAGCTTCTCTGATTAATCTGGGCAGCAGACCTGGACACCTCCAGAAGTTATCAACGGGCTCTCTGTTTGTTCTCACTACTGTCACCCACACAGGGAGAGTACAGAAACTCTACTTTAATACCTTCAACTCAGCAGCTCTTTAAGGTTTCTAGTAGTGTCACTTGGGTGGACAAAGCCTTTACCCAGGTTCTTGATTTGCTGACCTAACAATAAAACCACATCATTAGCACAAAATTGAATTTATTGGTTGTGAAACCTATTCTTGACCACACTGTTTCCCTAAACCCCAGAGGATCTACATGGACAGAGAGTTGTGACCAGGAGATCTTCACTATTACATAATATTTGGGGATGTTCAATAATATCGACCGACCGATATTCCTGGCCTAATTTTAGTGTTATTATGTAATATCTGTAAGAATTGTGATCAGTTTCCTCCAATAATGAAAACCTGATGTTTTGCAATGCCCGAGTTTTGTCAAATATGCTGGAATTGCTTGTGGGATCCTGAGACGTTTACTGTAGTTTTGGGGTAAATGGCTGCGTATATTGATATCAGATGATATCGAAATCTAAAATTAAGTGTTTGGACAATATCGACATATCAGATATCAGCAAATAGTTAATATCGGACATCCCTTATAATATTGCATGATATTACCACTCCATAACAACAAAGAACACAATAGAAAATAGTAACACTGTTATTCATCACAAACTAAAACTGAACATTTCTGCAAAAATCCAGGATAAAGTGCTTAACTTTTGAGTTAGCTGTCTAGAAGTCTGACTAGAGCTCACTGGCACCACCTCCCTTCTAGCCGTTTTCCTAGGTTAGCCTGTCTTTCATGTTGAAGGCTCTGGGCTCAATTCCACTTCTTCCCATATTTTAAGTTAGGTTGCATCAGGTAGGGTGATATAGTGTGCCAAGTCACTAAGTGTAGTACTACTGTGGCTACTGCTATTAATGAAGGGAAAAGCTAATAGTGATTCATCTTCATGGAGAACCTTGAATCATTTTGCATGCTGACATGTTACATTAAAACAACTCTAAACAACTTGTTGAATTTTTGTCCTTTTGTACAAATTCCCTGTGCATGACTCACTTTATCTGTTTCCTGCTACTTTCTAAAATATTCTGGAAGCATTTTGAGCAGGTACTGGTCAATTTTTAGGAATGTTAATGAGTGACTATTGGATCCACTGCCTGTACAGTTTGGTTGTAAGCCATATCGTGGGAGTTACAACATCGGGAGGTCAGATCAGAGCATTTTGTTTCAGGCCATGTTTTGTTGAATCATTTATACCAGGTGTATAAATGATTCAACTCTGGTCCAGGGACTGATGCCAGTCTCTGTAGTTCATTTGATTCCCGGGCTGCAGTGGGACACAGTGAAAAAGTTTACTTCAGTTTTCTTAATTTACTTCATTCAATGATCATCTGGGAATGTTCCAAAACAATAGGTCATTCAGTCACTCAGAATCTGATACTAACAAAATAAAGTCTAAAAGATGTTTTATTCAGAAAATGTAATGATCACTTAACAACAGTGTGGTATTGCTGATACTGTCCTACCAGTACCTGGTATGAAAAAGGTGGGGGACCGCTGCTGTATACCTGCCAGATATAAAACCACAAGCGTCCTGCCACTGTCTGTTCTCCCACCCCTGTTCAGCCCTTCTGAGGATCAAAAAGTTCTTCACTAGATCTCACAGAGCATTTTTTTCCTCTGCAGCTTTTACCTGGAAATGCTGTGCATGAAACCCCTGCCAAAGCTAAGGCATCTCTCTTCTGCCTGATGGTTTAGTGGCATGCTTGTTCACTACATGTTTTAGGCAGGCCTCCCTTTTTTTGTTTTAATATGCAAGAATTTTGGGAGTAGTGGTTGGAGGGTTTCTTATCTGTGTCTTCTGAGCCAGACTCCTGGCTTGCGAGGCATTTTTTAAGTATCGACTTATCTGTCAAAGTCAGCTGGTTGCATTTAATGGAAAGGAGGATGATTCGTGGGAATTAATTAGTGTATGTACTTGTCATTGCCTGAGATTGATGAGTAAAAATAAAATAGTTTTATTTCAGCCCCCACTCCCCACCTCCTCCACACACACAGTGACACTGGTGGTCAAACTGGTATGATTAAATGTGGTTTAGTGACCTAACCTGTTGTGCTACCCCTTTGTTTCGCTGCTTGGGGCAAATAGACATTTATTTGAATTGTGTTTTACACTTAGCATTAATAGTAATGTATTATGTATTCTAAGGAAACAACCAACAGTTGTAGTTGCACTGGCTGATTAGTCTTTAGAGTAAGGTCAGTAAGCTTTATCTTGGTATTAGTGGTAAAAAAAAAATCATTGAAATACCTACCAGTTTTACTCATCTAAACACTTCAGAACGTTAAGGAAGACAGTAATACTGACGGATGAGTGCTTCTGTTGGAGAAATGCCAAAACAAATGTGTGTGTTTAAGCCACTGGCATTTTTTTATGAATAGAGGAGTTTATTTCTCTCACTCTTTACAAAAATCTTAAATCTTAAAGAACTTATCAAGCATGAAAACCTGCGTGAATGGAAGGTCAAGAAAGGGAGAAGAAAACAGGAAGGTTCTTTCTTCCTTTTTCCCACTTGGGAAGCTTATTATTCCTTAAGCTGTGCTCTGTCTGAAAAGCTCTCTCTCCTTCTCAACCCTTCACCGTTAAGACCCCGCCTCGTCTCGACACAAGCCCCCAACTCGATTTTGTTTTTTTCAAACAGTAGCACCTCCTCCATTCACTCACTGACTTCCTCTCACTCTCGTACCCGTCACTGAACTCCCTCCTCTTCTTTCTCCTCCCCTCTCCCTGTGTCCCTACTTTCTCCTCATTGCTGGCTGCCTACTCCAGCCACTTCACAACCAAAGAGCTCATCTGTCCTTCACACACTGACTGCGCTTTAAACCAGAACCAGAACCCACTTTCCTCCAAAGACAATTTTGCTGAAGTCAAAAGGTATTGATTCCACATATCTCTCCATATATTTGTATAAATGCATTTTTAGACATATTGGTGTGTCTGCGTGTGTGCAAGTGTGATTTCATACGAGCATACCCATTTCACTGGAAGTGTACACGTGTAGTTACTAGAGTGTGGTAGGGGTGGTGGGACACATGTTTTTCCTTCACTGAATTCTTACTGCATCTCCTTCAGATATGAGTTGCTCTAGGTTTAAAATAACTTTCATGGTGTACATTTGGACCGGAGTAGGAAGCAGTGTTTGTATGATGGAGTCGGGCAGTCGAAATCAGTGAAACATTTGTTTTTAAACATTTGTTTTTCACTGAAATCAGGCAAATATGTTTGTCAATATGTTTTGCCTTTTTGTCCACACGCCAGTATCTAACTCTGACATATTTTTCCTTTTAGTCAGACAACCTTTATGACTCACACCAGAGGGAAGCCACGAGTGAAGGAAAAGTGAAGAACAAGCAACATAGAGGAGTTTTGCTGCTCAAGGGAGTAAAAGTTCCTGCAACAATTATGACTCAGACCAGTGAAGATAACCCACAGATGACCCGAAGAGGCCTCCATCGCATCCGTGCTGGGATCCAGTCCCAATCTCTGCAGGCCAGGAAGAGAGTGGAGAACATCACAAAGAATGATGTGAAAGGATTCTTCCTGAAAAATTCCTTTGTAATATTCACTGTCATTGCTGTTGTTTTAGGTGAGCTGTCAGTATTTGTTCACACTACACTTAATATTTATGGTGATTTGCTTGGCCCATCGTCAGCCAGACTGTGGCAGCACGGGAAAAGGACAAAAATAGATGCAAACTTACCAGGGGAGAGAACAGAGGAAACCAGATGAATATAGGGACTGAACTCCTTCTGACCTTAAATCTGACCTTTGCCTGTTTTGCCATTAACCTCTAGGTCTTGCTCTGTAGGAAGTTAGAGTAGCCCACACAAAGCCTGCACATCAGTTGTCCTACTAGAATTACACTTCCACTATCAAATTCCTTTGACTGTCAGATTCAGGATATTCTTCAATGAAGGATTAGACTAGAGAAAAAAGAATACAGAGACATCATCTGGTTTTGTTACTTAATTCAGAACCTTCCAAAGGTTGAATTGTATGAAATCTTTTTTTAAATTTTTTTTTAAATTTTCGTTCATGAAGGTATAATCCTGGGATTTGCTGTGCGGCCTTATAAGATATCTTATCGTGAAGTGGTGTTCCTGTCTTTTCCTGGAGAGCTGCTAATGAGAATGCTTCAGATGTTGGTGCTGCCCCTGCTGGTTTCGAGTCTAATTACAGGTATGAAAACTCAACTGAAAGGCTTTCTGCTGAGTTAGTCAACTTTCATTCTCACACTTCTGAAGTAACACAGTAGTAAGCTTTTTTAATTCTAAAGAGCTATATAACAACAATTAACTAAAAGTTTAAAACTGGGCCCTTACAATTAGAGTAATAAAAGCAAGAAATTGATAAAAGTCATCTCCTCCGACAATCAACAAAGCACTGAGAATATAATTAGAGAATATAATATTTTCAAAAATAGGTTACTGGGTTATGTTAAAACAGTGGGGCTCTGGCTGACTTTTTGTCTTAGATATATGTTACTTGTCCAGTAGGTAGTTCAGTCTGTGCTCTCTGTGTTCAGCCCCAGTACCAGTGACAGTGCTGTTTGTTGTTTTGTGGCTCCAAGGACCAAGTCAGTTGTTTGTTCAGCTGATGATGTTTGTTTGTTTTGGGCACAGTGGTGAATAGGGTTACGATAAAGTCATGAGCAAGACACAGAAAAATAGGTTAAGAGGGAGAGAGACAGAGCAAGAGAGAGAGATTTTTTACTAGTCAATTTTAAACATACAGTAACTTACCCATGTAGTAATATCTGTGTTCTCTGCATCACAAATTAACAAATTTGACTGACTTGACTAAGGCCAGTGCACATTTGTATTTGAATAAACAGTTAAGGATAAGGAATTGAGTGTGTTGATTTTCTTTGTTTTTAGGTTTTTCAGTTTTGTTTCAAACATGTGAAAACCTATTTTCAATTTTCTCCTTTCTACGGTCTGTGGGTGTTTTGCTGCCACTTGGTACAGATAATTCTGAGACTAGTAAGCTATACTGATGGAAGGAGTTAAATATTAACAACACACCCTAACCCTAGAAAGCACACAGTGTAGTGATTCACAGCGCAACGGGCCAATCTCCTGCAGAGAAGATAGAGACACAGTCTTTGATACTAACCTACTTTGTCCCGCAGCATGAGTGTAACAGCAACCTCTGACTTCATGTCACATGACCTGTCACATGGCGTAAACATGTGCAACAATGATGTTTTCTAACGAACTGATCTAGTGCTGGGTATGTGTGTATTTGTCTGCTTTATGTATATCTTCAAATTTAACTAATAACACATTTCAAACCACTCCAGACTAGTTCATGTTGAGCTTTGGCAAATGTATTTTCTGTCAGTAAAAATAATATTAGTCATGAGCTGTAATAATGACTTAATGTCAGCTCTCAAACACTGTAAAAACAACTAAAAAATCAAATTCTGTTGAATGTGGTTGACCAATGTGCCTGCATATTGGAAAGTGGAAAATTCTGGCTCAACATTATGGAAAGAACAACAAGAAAGAAACATGTGTGATTTTTTTTTAATTGCAGATCATATATAAAGCATTTGCTTTTTATTTAGTTACAGAGGTCTTGGGCCATTAGGGCATTATGTTTTTTTTTTCTTATTTTGTGCACGTAGTCTGTTAAAGTAAAATAAACAGTGAATGCGTGTAAGTGTAGCACATCTAATTCATCTAATTCCTAATTAGATTAGGAATCTAGACTAACTCCTAATTCCTAATCTGATTAATCCTAATCTCGTAAAATACCTGAAGGGAACTCCCAAGGGATTAATAAAGTGCTATCTATCTATCTATCTATCTATCTATCTATCTATCTATCTATCTATCTATCTATCTGTCTGTCTATCTATCTATCTATCTATCTATCTATCTATCTATCTATCTATCTATCTATCTATCTATCTATCTATTTATCTATCTAGCTATCTAGCTATCTAGCTATCTATCTAATTTCAAACTCCAGAATGTAAATGAACTTATATGAGCTAAAAAGCATACCCAGTTCTCATGGACAAGCAGTTTGGTTAAAAAAAGTTATGGAGAGAGATATTATAGATAGATAACTTTTTATAACAAAATTTGCAACTAAGACCTGATAGAAAGACGACACCTTTCTAGTCTGGAGTTAACAAACATATTGGACTGCTTGATTTTATATTTTATATTTTCTGAGGATTGACCTAAATAATGGAGGGTATTTAATAAAGGACAAATTCGTATGAGTTTTTTTTTTCTACAACCAGATGACACAGTCACACTCTAAAAAGTAATTTGTGCTGTGACTGACATGTCCATACGGTCGACATTAAAAGGAAGGCGGTCTGGTGAACAGACACGAGGCGTTAGAGCAGAGAATCTAAGATCAAGAAGTGAGCTCCAGTAGAAAATATTTAGTAGAGGTTCCGGCCCATTCTGCATCATCTGTAGCACGGATGGAGGTCCACGTTGTCCCAGGAGCTTTGAGGGTTCCCCCAAAGTCTACCTTTGTGTTTGATGAACATTCCCCACACCAGAAGAAAAGTCACTCTCCTTGCTCTCCAACAGTTGTGGTTCTTTCATTCTTTTGAAAGGATGAAATTGGTGAGGCTGCGTCCGTTGTTGTCTAGACAACAGACTAGGGATCACTGTGCACGTATGTAGTACTGTCTAAGTCAACAAGTTTTCCCAGGCCTGTTAGAAAGGAAATAAGAGGAGGGTAAAAGAGAGGGAAAAGAATTGGAAGAGAATTACAGCAATAAGACTAGCGTGCAAGAAAAAGAGTGCACAAAGGCAACATGTGGGGGTGGAAAGGGAGGAAAAGTATTGGACGGATACTATAGAGTCTCCCTGAAAAAGAGCGGTGAGGTAAAGAATTTGGGGCAGAACAATGGGAGAGGGAAGGATGAAGAGGGAGGAAAGAGGATCAGGAAAAATAATTAAGGCTTAGGTCCTGGACACGTTTGGACAAGAAGAAAAAGAAAGGGCTCCTGGGCACCTAACCCCCCTTAAACACACACACATATGCACACACAATAAATTCAGAGGTTTGTCACATCATTAGTTTTGTTAATAAAAATTACAGAGAGTTTAGGGGTAAATATACCAAATATAATAATCTTTGCGATCATATTTCAATGTAAAAAATATAGTATAGATTATATACTGGAGTTATGGTACCTTTTCAAAAACCCTAACTTTACAGAAAATTGTCAATAATACCTTGTAACATTCATATTTTAAATAGTCTATTACTCTTCAGACAGCCAATATTTTTGTAAGACTACTAAGTGCTGACAATTCAAAGTACAATTGATATATAAAACTAATAAAAAATAGCTAAAAGCAAACCAAAACAGGTAGAAAACGTCATAATTAGCTAACCAACTAACTAATGAACTAACTTACTAATTAGCCTCTAACAGGAAGATCAAAAATGTGTTTCATAGGGAAAAGAAATCACATACACAGTGTTTTATTTTCATGGTTGGTGTCGTTGGTTTTGGTCCGCACAATGCAACAGGTCCTCAGTACAAGGCTGTGGAAATGAAGGGAGCAGCATAGGGAGAGAGAGAGAGTGTCAAAGTACCAAGCATGAAAGGATCACATACATCTCCTCTCACACAATCACACAAAGCCTGCTTTGCCTTGTACAGTTCTGAATAGAGAGCAAGGCCATAATAGGACCTGGCACTTTGAAAATGAGATGCCTCTGTCACGCTTATTGGTGTAGATTGTCTTTGTTGCTGGATTGTTTTCAAAATCAGTTCTTTAAATGGCTGCATTTCTTCTTTCTGAAATTTATTTTTCTCTATTTTTATTAAGACAGAAATACTGCCTTTTACTATTTATCCTTGCAAAGTCTATGTAATACTAATTTAGTAGTATTAGAGCACAGTTTAGCCTTTAGGGCTCTGTGACTGTTACCATCTTTCTGTTTTTTCACATCTTTTCACATCTTTGAAGACTCTTCATATCAGTGGGTTATTCGTTCTTGGCCGAGGACTAAAAAAGTCCATGTTTTACTGCGTGTGTGTGTGTGTGCATGTGTGTGTGTGTGTTTGTGTGTGATTGTGTGTGAGTAGCCCATGATTTTATAACTAGTAGAGTTCACAAAATCCAACCATATTTTTTTCCATTCATTAAACTGTATTGCCTTTTCACAGATTAATTTAAGTTTATTACAAGTTCATTTGCTAATTACAACAGAACATGAGAACGTTTGTTAGGTGGTCCACAGTACGTACGCGCTGTTTCAATTCCAAACACCGAAACTGTTTTGTTGAACCTGGATGACTGAGAATCTTCATAGACATGTTTTGTTGAACTGTTTCCACCTTGACACAGATATTTTCTCTGCCTGCTTTTCTGGTAAATATTACTTACATGCACACACAACACACCATATAAATATAGTGAACAAACTGTACTTGCTAACAATTCAACAAAACCTAGATGGCATTTAAGCCTAAAAGCATTTTAGCATTTACTCAAGCATCTTTTTAAATGGAGTGTTACAAACGAAAAGACTGGCTGTGTGGATGTCCCACAAGAAAGCTTTACTGCTTTCCTTGGCTTTTACTCTCATCGTGTGATAACGTCTGGACTAACTCGGGATACTTTGACCTGAAACATTTACAAAGAAGCCTCAGCAGACAAGGAAGATCAGCCACGAACATTCAAAGCCAGATGTCTTTAAAAAAATCCTGGAAATTCAAGATCAGGATTGATAACATTAGCATCCATTAGTGTAAAAATAAGATGGGAATAAGTAGAAAAAATTCAAGTATTTGATAACTAAATTTCTGGCCTAAAATAAATATTTTTTCTTATCAAATTGATAGACAATCTTTGATTAAAGCACCAGAATTTAAAGTTTAAAAAATAACTGAATTTGTTACTGAAGCTCAAAATTAAATTTGTGACTAAAACACTGTGAGGTAGTCGGCGGCGTCCAGGAGGGCCGAGCAGGTATTGAATGGAGCAAGACCACCCTCTTCTGGTCAAAGGCCTCGAAAGAAGAGCAGAAAGTGGTGGTGACAGAGGTGACAAGGACCGAGCTGGAACGCCTTAAAATCAAAGCGGTGGCTCAAAGCCGACAGGGAGGCTGGATGTCATGGGAAGGTGTTACAGACAGGCCCCTGGCATGGACTGATATGTGGAAGATCCCCCAGATCAGGCTCAGCTTCCTGATCAGGTCGTCTTACGATACTCTGCCTTGTCCCAGAAAGAATCCTGCATTGCAAGCCTCCAGCATATCCTGTCAGGCTGTAAGACAGCATTGTCCCAAGGCCGCTACAGGTGGCGTCATGACTTGGTGTTAAGGAAGCTGGCAGAGGTGGGCACCAACGGTACGCTCACTAGGCAGCGAGTGGTCGATGAGGAGGCAGCTCCAATTGCCCAGGGAGATCACAGAAAACTTTGCTCCGGCCAGGTCTATGGTCAAAACCATGCAGAACCATTCTGATGGTGAAGCTTACCGTCCCATGGGAGGAAGGCATGGAGGCTGCCAAAGAGTGGAAACATGCAAAGTACGCAGACTTGGCAGCAGAATGCAGAGAGGCTGGCTGGAAAACCATCATGTGCCCCGTTGAAGTACGATGCAGGGGCTTCATAGGGTCCTCAACTGTACGCCTGCTCTGTGACATGGGATGCACAGGAGCAGGGCGCAGGAAAGCCATGAGGGAACTGGCAGAATCTCTATACTTATAGATATGAATTGCTTACACAAGAAGGGTGCTCTGTCCATTTGTATAAAGAAACGTTCTTTATAGGACAATTATGTTTCTGTGAATATGTTTGTGTTGGTGTCAGTGTCATTCAAAGAGGAATGCTGATGGATTTTATTTCATCTTATTTCACTATTCATCCAACAACATCACCTGGTAATAAACCAATGAACCATCCAAGAGTTCATCATTGAACAGCTAATTAACAGCAATGACACTGACTAGAATATTGAGGAGAGGGATCCAAGCATGATTGATTGTTCCGCTTGATTGTTTTGTTCCGCTTAATGCGCCTTATAACCCGGTGCGCCTTATGTATGAAAATATTCCCGTTCATTGATAGTGCGCCTTTTAATGCAGTGCAATTATTGTGTCCTTTTTACCTGCAATTCTACGCTCAGGGGTGTAAAGCTTAGACATTAACATCACGGTGGCTGTTGACCTGTTGTCTTTGTCATTTTTTAGCTGATACTGTATATAACTAGTACTGGGCTCTGTAATTATTGTTGAATTACCAAGGCTGTTCCTCAGGACGGCTGGGATCATTGGCGTCAGCTCTGCCTTTTACCCTGAAAGGGATTAAGAGATGAATGAAGGAATCACTAGTACTGGACTTATTGCACCACATCCTTTAAGATAGTGACACCACTGCTCTCTCTGCAGGGATCTTTTGGAAGTCCACAGAAAAGTCAAATTACTAATAGAATGACTTTAACTTAATAACTTCTCTATGGTTTTGTTTTCCAGGTATGGCTGCTCTAGACAGCCGTGCTTCTGGTAAAATGGGTATGAGGGCAGTGATCTACTACACCACCACCACTGTGATTGCAGTGTTCATTGGAATCATCATGGTGCTCATCATTCACCCTGGAAAAGGATCAAAAGATGAGTTTACAAAGCAGGAAAAAGTGGAGCAGGTCAGCCCTGCTGATGCCTTCCTGGACCTTATAAGGTGTGTATCAGGATGGTGTCATACCAGTTTTCTTGTTTACAAACAAGTATTAGTATTTTTAATTGTGTACTCACCAATAACAGATATAATAGGAAAGGAAAGTGAACTCCTTGTCATTGTGACATACATCACTGCACACAACAAAATTTGACCTCTGCATTTAACCCATGACCAAAGTGAACAGTGGGCAGCTTTTTGAGTACCCAGGGAGTAGTGTATGGGGACAGTGCCATGCTAAGAGCACCTCAGTGGCAGCTGGTGGATTCGAAATTCGAAATAAAAAAACAATATTAAGTATGAACATAAATAAAAATACAGATTCTTTTATATTTACCAGAGGTGTAAAGTAACATATTACATTTACTCACATTACTAGAATTGTATTTTTTGCAAGTAATTGTGAGCAATTTCGAATTTTTTATGTAGTTTTGGCAATATACAGTATATTATAAGTACATTTTGTACTTAGCTGTATTTGTATTTTCATTTTTTTATTTTAAAATATTCACATTGCTTTTTGTGTGTATATACAGTATGTATCTAAGTGTGCAAGAATGTTTCTCTTAAATACTATTTTAAACTGTTCTATTTCCTCAACAAATACAAAAAACAGTGTGGGTGTTTGTTTGTGACTGGATCTTTATCTTTTATTTTTCAGAAACATGTTTCCTCCAAATATTGTAGAAGCTTGCACCAAACAGGTGAGATTTCACTTTTTGGTACATCATGTTGTTCTTACAGTTCTCTTCACATGTAAATATGTTTATAGTTATCCTTTTTTAAAATGCTTATTCCAGTTTTATTGAAGATGACATGAATATTACCTATTTACAGTCATAAGAAACACACACTGTTTATTTTGTAAAGCTTTTTCCTGATCTGTGCAAATGCAACTAAGATAAGGTTTACATATAAAGAGCTAAACGTCACAAAACTTTTTACACTTTCTCTACAACAAAGTTGCGTGGGCAAACTTTTTGACCCGCAGGCCACAATTGGTCCTAAAATTGAACAGGGGTGCTGGGTCAGAAGCAGATAGATGAAGCATTTGTATCAACTAAGATAAATGACGTGTAAAAGTCATACATGAAGGCTAAAATGCTAAAATGCTTTTATCATTTTCTATGCCATTGCATTTTCTACGTGGGTATTGCAGGGAAAAAGAAGAAATATAATGATAATATAAATAAATTATATAATTTGGAAATGTTTGGTGGGCCAGATTCAAAAGCTGAACGGACCACATCAGTTTGCCCATGCCTGCCATAGACAGTGTGTCTACAAGGGCAAAAAACACAGTAGTTTAACACAGAGATTAATTCATAAATTAAAAGTAGTACTTTTGTTTTCATTGCAGTTCAAGACACAGTATGCCAAGAGAGTCATCCAGGTACAGATGACGGTGAACGACACCATATTCTCTCCTAATGGTAGTCAGAAGATCACGCAGGAGGAGATGGTTCCTGTACCTGGGACAATTAATGGAATCAATGCTTTGGGCCTAGTGGTGTTCTCCATGTGCTTTGGTCTGATCATTGGAAACATGAGGGAACAAGGTCAGCCGCTCAAGGACTTCTTTGACTCTCTCAATGAGGTCATCATGAGGCTGGTGGGCATAATCATGTGGTGAGTAGGGTTATTGATTCTTGAATGTGAGGATTTTTTTTAAACATTAAATTAAATGACATCACTGTTTAATCTTCAGGTATGCCCCTCTTGGCATCTTGTTCCTAATTGCTGGGAAGATTGTGGAGATGGATGACATTTCCTCGATGGGGAGCCAGCTGGCGATGTACACAGTGACAGTCATTAGTGGGCTGCTCATCCACGCCACCGTTGTCCTGCCAACTTTGTACTTCATCATCACCAGGAAGAACCCCTTTGTGTTCATCGGTGGGCTGCTGCAGGCACTCGTTACGGCCCTCGGGACATCCTCCAGGTCAGTCATCATGTTCACTATGTACAGTACTTACTTGTTTGTGTCCGTCTTACATCCTTATTAATCTTCTCTTGCAGCTCAGCAACCCTGCCTATCACCTTTAAATGCCTGGAGGAAAACAACAAAGTGGACAAGCGTGTAACCCGTTTTGTACTTCCTGTAGGTGCCACAATAAACATGGATGGAACAGCTCTGTATGAAGCTCTGGCAGCCATTTTCATTGCCCAGGTCAATGACTATGACCTCAACTTTGGGCAGATTCTCACCATTAGGTATAGATATTGTGTACTAATAATGTACTAATACATTTTTTGATGATGTCAAGCCTTTATATTGTTGTACAATACAGTACACATGACTGATTTTATATTGCATGACATTTTTGAAACACTAAGACGGGAGGTAGGAAGAAAGCAGTGAAAAAACACCCAGTGTTTTTATGTGTTTGAATGAGATACCACTTAAAGAAGGGCTGTCAAACATACAGCCTGTGGGCCATCCCCGGCCCATTAGTGGGGTTCAATCCAGCCTGCTTGATAAATTTTGAAAGTAAAAAAATGTGCATGAAAACAAAGGGGGAAACATGTACTATTGTTATTCATAAGAAATTATGTTGTATTATTGTACTGGTCTGGCCTACCTGACATTAGTTTGGCTATATGTGGCCCGTAACGCAGTTCAAGAAGTTTAAGTTTTGCTCCAGCAAATGTTCATTTCAAAAGTGATAGTCACCAAATATTGGTGTAATTGAAATACTAAACTAAAAAGGCTGTGTAACCAACTTAATATCCCTATTTATGTTCTTATTTTGTGTTTAGGAAGGACACATTTTTATACACTAGCTACATGTGATCTATTTCTGTTTCAAATGAAACATTCACTTTGGCAGATTCGTCTGTTCCAAATAATGAACCTGATCATAACAGACTCATTTTAGGGATATCAAAAATGTAAAGCCTACATACCAGTGTAATTACGTCAGATTTCTGCCAACAGAGCCTCCAGATATTTACACAGTAAATATAATATTTCCACAAAAACCATAATTGTTGTCATAGTGATTTTCTAACCATTGGTCTGAGGATTTGGTCCAAAGAAGAGACTGCACTTCTGACATGAGAACCAATGAAATAACCCTTGTTAACTTTGGAAGCAATGAACATCTGTTTGGTCAAACTGATGATGGCCGAGATAATTTAAGACAGGTTTTGACATAAACCACACTGAAATACTTACTGTATAACTGTTCCTGCACTGTTTTCACTTCAGTATTACAGCCACAGCAGCCAGCATTGGAGCAGCTGGAATTCCACAGGCAGGACTTGTTACTATGGTCATTGTGCTTACATCTGTTGGCCTGCCAACTGATGACATCACACTCATCGTTGCTGTTGATTGGTTCTTGTAAGTATCATTTATATTCTCCCTGATGTGGTGCAATAAGTGCAGTACTATTCTCCCTGTTCGGGCAGTATGGGATTGTATAATGCTATGTGTTGAATGCAGCAGGATAAGGTAAGTAGTACTTTGCATCCCATGTCACACAATATATCTTTATATATATATATATACATATATATATATAAAACTCTTTATATTCTTTTGGGATCAATAAACTATCTATCTATCTATCTGTCTGTACTTTGTTTGCAAATCTATCTGATCCAAGGCAAAGCATTTATACTTGATGTGGTTTACTATGTGTTTTTCAATGGCCATGTAGGATTTATCTTCAACATCTTCAACATAATTTATTTGGAATATTTTATGCTTGATATTCAGTTCTTTTTTGCATTCATTTTTAATTTATAACTACATTTCCTTTTGTTTGACATTTCTCTTGTGTCATTTTTTCTGTTTCTTTTTTTTTCTTTTTACCTGTTTTATGCTGTTTTATTAATTTCTTAATCTAGTCTCCCTGTCTGCCTTTATTTGTTGATTATCTTACATTTTTGTGGCGCCTTGTCTTGTGTACAGTTTTGTCTTTTATAGTTTATTTCCTCTTCTCACATTGCCTATTTGTAACATTGTTTCATCTTTTCTTATATATTTTGTTGTTTTGTGTTACTTTATCTTGTCTGACTCTCACCATATTGGTTGTCTTTCTTTAGAGACAGATTGCGCACCACAACCAATGTCCTTGGAGATTCCATTGGTGCAGGTATAGTGGAGCACTTGTCCCGTCATGAGCTGCAGAAAAAGGACCCGGAGGTTGGAAACTTAGTGGTGGAGGAAACAGACAAGAAGCCTTACCAGCTCATTAGCCAGGAGAATGAGTATGAGAAAGAAAGACACGTCGACAGCGAAACCAAGATGTAGGTACTCCTATTTTTTTCAGGCGTGGTTGGGTGTGTTGGGGCATTGAAATGAACCATACTCTGGTTTACATTTATGGAGGGTTACTGTTATATGCTGCATGCTGTCCAGCATTAAGTTCTACAAAAGTTAAGGGTCTACAAAAAGCTTTTCTGTGACACCAACATCTTGAGTAGGCCCTTGGTGCAATGTTTTCCTCAGCATAACTAGGAATCTTTCTAAATCTACAATGCGTTTTAATGCGTTTAACTACGGGTGGCAGCTGTTAATAATAGACATGAACTTCTGTAAAACTTGGTGGTTTGTGGCCTGCATGCCATATTACTCTTCTATCATTTCTGCAATAACTCATTTCTCCCACTGGAGGCCAGTATGCCAGCTGTAGATCTCAGTCAATTCTTAAATACATGTTCCAGCTTTGAAAACACATTTTTGCCTCATAGTAAATCATCTCTTACTGTAAACTAGAAGTAATGGACATTTTGAGATTAAACTCTGTGCATTTCTGAACTCCTCTTTTTGATTCAACACATACACTATAGCCAGAATACAGGTTTCATTTACTGAATGTCGCCAATGTTTCTCCCCAAAATCATCTGGCCCTTTTATCATTGGAAACAGAAATAAAAATTTGATTTTTTTTGTTTAAAAAGCTATGTTAAGCAACTGGATGTGAATTTTCTAAAAGAAGACGTTTTACCTCTCATCCAAGAGGCTTCTTCAGTTCTAACTAGTGGTGTGGAGTGCAGCAGATATATACTCCATGTGTGAAAAAATAATGCTGCTTCAGCTCCACCCTGTTGGGTGAAAGTGTAAAACAGTTGTTAAAAGTCTGGTGGGTCATTGTGGCCCCCATCAGAATGGTTTCGGTCACCTGCCTCTTTGTTGTGTGAAACTGAGGTGAATCTTTTGGGTATTGTTTCTAATAGTGCTTTGTATGTGGGTGATAGGTTTAGAGACAGTAGCAATAGGCAGAAGACAGGAGGCGGAGCTGGAGGTGACAGAGTTAAAGATGCTAAGATTCTCTTTAGGAGTGACAAGAATGGACAGGATCAGGAATGAGGTCATTAGAGGGACAACACAGACAGGAAGGTTTGGAGAAAAAGCTAGAGAAGTCAGATTGAGATGGTTTGGACATGTGCAGAGACAGTGGATACATTGGTAGAAGAATGTTAGAGATGGAGCTACCAGGGAGGAGAAAGAGAGGAAGACCAAAGAGGAGATATATGGATGCAGTGAGGGAGGACATGCAGATAGTTGGAGTCAGAGTAGAAGATACAGAGCCCCTGTTCTCTGTATCTTCCACTCTGACAGAGATGGAAATCAATGATCTGCTGTGGCAACCCCGGAAAAAAAGGGACAAAGCCGAAAGAAAAAGAAGAAGATGTGGGTGATAGGTTGTGTCTGAGTCCACCACCTCTGTTGAGTTATGGTTTCTCCAGGTTTTTCCTTTTAGGAACAATACCCAAAAGTTTCACCTCAGTTTCACACAACAAAGAGGCAGGTCACCGAAACCGTTCTGATGGGGACCACAACGACCCATCATACTCTTTACGACTGTTTACACTTTCACAGTTGACCCCAAGGCCCCACCCAACAGGGTGGAGCTGAAGTAGCTTTATTCTTTCACACCTAGAGTATATATCTTCTGTACTCCCCACCACCAGTTAGAACTGAAGAAGCCTCTTGGATGAGTGGTGCAACTCTCATTTCTTTTAGAAAATGCACATCCAGTTGCCTACTAGAATTTTTCTAAACTTGACCATGACCTGGATGACTGAGAATCTTCATAGACCTTTTTTACATGTTATTCAAAACAATCTTTACAATCAGTAACAGAAATGAACCAAAATTCAAAAGAAATGTTAGGTAAAATAATTTATTTGTTGAGAATTAGCTAGCCAATCAGAGAGCCATACCATTTCAACCAAATATCACATCCAAATAAATATTATTTAAGCTTTTCCAAATACACCTGTGTACAATTTGCAAGTGTTGCAATATTTTTGTAATCTTTGTTCAATTGTTGTACAATGTTAATATTTTAGCCCCTCTCAACGACAACATGTTTTTAAAATGTCTTAAACTTATCATAATGTTCATTCTCAAAATTGTACTGTGTTTTGGGCTTAATATGTTTGAATACAGCTGGGTATAAATACATATATTGAATGCAAGTAGATAATGAAATCTAACCAAAAGATAGATTTTTCTATAGATTTTACAGAATATACTGTATTTGTATAGTGAACTATAGATTAAAGTGTACATTAATTGTAGACTGTTGAATTGTTAACAGTTGCTTGGTGATTGTGTGTTTCAAAATGCTGAAACCATACTCTTATCAAATGGAACTGAACTAACAAAGCTTGTAGGTCATCTGGCTGATTATAAAGACCAAATGTTATCTTTTTTACACAGTTGAAGCAAATCATTTTTTGTTCATATTTGCTGAAGATTTTTGTTGATGTATGCATTTGAAAACTGAATAATAGATGTAGAATTATTTTCCATTGACTCTTTTTTAAATAAAATGTAAAAATCATTGTTTTTTTTCTCTCCATTAAACACCTGGAACACATGCATGGAATCTTCAAGTCATTTCCAGTTTTGTCATTTTAACACAGATGATTTTCTAAGACATTGGACCACATTTAAGAGATGGTAACACTGAGATCATGAGATCATAGTTACTTAATTTGCTATCAGTTGCTATCTCATTGAGTGTAAAACCGCACACCTTTGGTCTTTTTTATATTTTATATTTTCTGCTTAGTCCCAACGATTGTATTGAATTAATAAATGTCAAAACTGAACTTGAAGAGTTTATAGAAAGTGGATACTGAATAATCTGGTTATATCCCTTCTTCAAGAAATATATTAATTAACGGCATATGAGATGTTTTTGATGATGATAAACAATATTTTCTGTCTGTGTACTGGTTCTCAGTGATCCAGGTCATTTAATCCAAAAATAGTTACATTGAGGGCAACTGGACGAAGTAGGTTTTTTGAAGATGTTTCACCTCTCATCCAAGAGGCTTCTTCAGTTCTGACCGACTACTAGGGAATTCTGGTATTTAGCCTAAAAGGGGCTGCATACCTGGAATGAGGGTCATTGCAGAAAGGGAGGGTGGAGGTGTGGTGAAACACATCCTATTCTAAGGAGGGCAGAATGTAAATTCAAAAGGTTAGAGGTGTGAATGGGTAGTGATACCATAGTTATGGACTAATAGTTTCAACCGAGTGACACCTTTGGCTGGTTGTCTTCGGATGGGCGCCTTAACTCCAGACCAGTTTGCACACTATAACTATTTTTGGCATGCATAAAGTAGTTGTCAGAAGATTTTCTAAGAAATCAGAGAGGGCTAAGGATCAGGGAGGTGTCTAATGGTCTTTCAGATTCCAGATTTGGCAGTCCACTTACTCCCCTGTAGGCTATGATGTCAGTGGGTATATGGATAATCATGTAATTTAACACACTCCAAGTAGTAAGCAGAAGTAAAAAGAAACACTTGGAAAGTGTCTTTAAATTCTACTTGTATCCTTATCTTAATCCTTTAACCAAAGGAACCAAGAAAATATCCAGATCTATGGAAAACCTCCATGTGGGTTATGTTCCACCTCTTTTCATTTCTAAATGCCTTGGTGCCTAAGAGTCTTATTTTCTTAACAGTTGTAAAAACAAAACTTCCCACTGCATACCACTAGAGGGAGCCCAAGGACCTCTGGTGGTACACACACCTTTATTTGAGAACCACTACCCCATTCCAGTGAATGCATCTGTCAGAATGGACTATTTTGTTTTTCCTTTTTCAAGATGATATGGGTTCTATTATATGGTATTTACCTTTAGTTAACAGTAAAACTAATCCACGTGTGCTTTCTCATTGAACAAAATGCTATTTTCAAACGACAATACTCCACAAAATGTGCTTATATTTTAATATTATACACTCTTTATTGTTTCCTTTTAATGTTGAATATAAAACTTCTTAGTATAATGCAACGTAGGCTAGTAAATATAGTTGTTTTGCAGCGCCATCCAGCGACAACGCACGACATGTTACATGGCATTTTGTTTGGCGCCGGTGGAGGGAGTCACTTCTGAGATCTTTGGTCAGTCAGACGGCAGAACTTCCGGTCGGCATTTTGTTCTACGAGAGGGGAGCCTCTTGATCGCAACATTCGTCATATTTCGCGTTTTAAGTCGAAAAGAGCCGCCAGTGTCGACATAGACACACTGAAACTCCGAAGAACGAATGTTTCCCATTTGTTGTTTGCCGAAACATTCACCTTTGAGTGTCGGAAGAAGGAATCAGTCCGACTCGGATTATTGTTGATAGCTAGCAGGCTAGTTTAGCAGCTAGCTGGCAGAGCCAGTCGAGTTCCTGCTGGAGGATCTGCGAGAGAGAAGAAAGGGGGAGCTAGAGATACAGACGCGGACACAAACCAAGCTAAAACATTCCCCTCCCTTTGAACGCAACATCCGAAGGTATACAATTCCACTCATGGTTTTTCATTGGCATAATTGTTTTCGGTTGAAATTATGAAATTCTAGGTTAGTGTATGCTATGCTGCAGGGCCACCGTTGTTAATCGTTGACCGGGAGGCAGCGGAAGCTAGCGAACTAGCCAGCCAGGCTAGCTTAGGTGTGTTTTTGCTTTGCCTAGGCGCACGGCCTCAAATTGGATGTCATTTGACGAGCCAGAAGCTTGGGCCATTGCCACATATATATTATTGGGGGCTCTTGTGTTTACGTTCAGTTACTCAAAGCAGTTACATTTGTCGAACTCAGAGGGAAATAGACTAGAATTTATTTACTCAAACCAGCGCTTCTCTATATTATGTGAATCTCCTTCCCTCTTATTTAAACGATAAGAAGCGGTAAATGCTAAACCCAACAACAGTTTGAGGTAGTTAGCACCCTTAGCTTACTTAAAACACAATTGTTGTAAGTGTATGTTAAAACTAGTGTTAGTAATAATATAATATTAGCAGCCATGTCGTAGCCTTAACTGTACAGTTAGCTTGTAAGATGTACACAGTCAACTTCTTGGCTCCAGACTGCCTGTGGTTTTGTTCTCTAGTAGCGGACTGTAGCTGATTATGCAGCTAAGATAAACATATGAACAGAAACGTCCACAAGAACTATACAAGTTCGCTAATTCGTGTGTGTGCGTGTGTTTATAAATCCCCAATTACGTAAAATTTTGTTTTCCTGTGGCGTGGCTGATGTTGCATGTCGTTACCACCTTGTTTTGAAATGTTTTGATTCACCACAGGCTGCGTTGCCACAGCTTTCGTTTGCTCGGTCTTCGTTGGCATTTGTAACAGGGTTTTGGTATTTCAAGTATTGTGTATGTTTTTTTATTGACCTCACCAAATCAGCAGGTAGTTTTCTGTAGTTATCACTTTTCACTACGCGATTTGTGGTTGTCGTTGCTTACTGGCTACTGAAGGATGTAGCCCCCCATAACTGCCGCCACCATCTCAATGCATCTGCTCCTTTGTGCTGCCTCCTGCTTGTCAGTCTCACAGCTGTCAGGCAAGCCTCTGTCCACCGGGAAAGAGAGACCACATAGTCGAGGCTTGGACATAGAATCACTAGAAACTGTTATATTTGCGAAATCTATTTGTTCACCCTCTATATTATATTAAAGTATTCTCTCGACCCCAACGATCTGCTGGCACTCGAGCGTGTTTACATTCAGTTTACCTAATTATTATGGAAGAAGTAGCACGTTCGTTTGTTTCGTTTTAATTAGTGTATTTTTAATTACATTTACATTAGGTAAACAGTACAACACACTATCTAATGTCAATTTAGACATTTATATAGCTACTCTATTATCCATTAAACTCTAAGCAGCAGTTGTCACGATAAACCTTAATTGCCAAGTGTCATTTTGTAACCTTGGCTTAGTGTTACTCATTACATTTTAGTTAACTTTGTCCATAATTGTATGCCTTGATTTGCATGTCAAAGATCTGACCCAGAGCTGTGTTCTCTTTCTACAGATTAAAGAAGTAGGATTTTATTTATATGACATGTCTGTGAGTCCAAATGTGACTGCAAAGATTTCTCCAAGAAGGTATTTGCATTTGTTATTTAAAAAACTATTGAAACTCTTATTGTGACATCATAGTTTTAGGGTAGTTTATCTTTCTATATGAATACTGTGACATATGTCTTTATTTTTGTATCTAAGAGAATTATGTAGATGACGATTGAGTGCTTCACTGGATTGTTGAAACGATAAGCTTTAAACATAATGCGTGGGTTGCATTAAGGTTCTGTGAAAATTAAAGCTGACCTTTCTCTCTGATTTCTTTTGACCTCATGAAGACTTCTTCCTGTGATGTCAAGGATATTTAAATGTGGTAGAGGGTCAAGGCAGATTAAGTGCATTGTTCATAATAAGCTGAAAGCAAGGACATCTCACTTGAAAAACACAGAAGATTAGCACATCATTTGGACCTGTAACAGTGTTCATATTAATTACGTATCATAAAAATCATAGGCAGAATTAGAAGATAAATTTACAAATTATAATAAATATACAAAGGAACTTAATGGTTTTACAAAGGGGAGAATTTTAGACTTGTAAAGTAATGCTTAACAATCCTGCAACAAATGTTGATAATCTTATCTGTGCCATGCTTCTTTAATTAAACTCGCCGGTGTTTTGATTATAATTACATTTTTATTTATTTATAATTGGTTCCTTATAGTAAAATTGCCAATGGTTTATGTAATTAAGAAGAAACTTTTTTTTTCTATTCTGCTCTGACTCCATCTTGCTTTTGTCCAGGTGTCAGGAAATGTGAGGACAGGTGCTTTCCATTAACCCCCTGATCTACCTGTGTATCAACACACTCCCCCACCCTCACCTTCAGCATGAATGGGGATATGCCTCATGTTCCCATTACCACTCTTGCTGGAATAGCGAGCTTAACAGACTGTGAGTAACACTGCTTACTTAAATTATGTCTACACAAATTATTTTTTGACTGTATATCCTGTCTCCCCAACTTAAAACCAACCCTTCTTGACCATAGTGTTGAACCAACTACCCTTACCCTCCCCTCTCCCTGCCACCACCACTAAGAGCCTCCTATACAATGGGAGAATCGCAGAGGAGGTCACCTGTCTGCTGGGGTGTCGGGATGAGAATCTGGCAACACAGCTAGCCCATAGCCTCAACCAGGTCTCCACTGAGCATATGTGAGTATTCAAATTAATCGGTCTAACTGTTGAAGTATGGATTCTAGAACCCAAAACCAACACTAATTTGATTTAATTGGAGCTATATTGTCATTCATTCATTTCTATAATGCCTCCATAATGTTTTCATGAAAATCTACTATATTGCTTTCATGATCTGCTCATGCTCTTATAGAGAGCTAAAAGACAACCTAGGTAGTGATGAGCCAGAGGGCGACGCACCGCTGTTGCTGCAGACCATGCTGGCCAGGAACCCTGGCATCTTCAGGGAGAAAAGTACGGACACACACACAGCAACCACCTCTATCATAAAAAGATCCCAGCAAGGTTTTTATCGACAAGCATACGGCATCAACAAACGTAATAAACATAATTCTCCATTTCCAAACAGATGTTATGCAGCAACAGATGGTACCACCGTTCAAAATCACCCAGAATTCCATGCACAGTCCTGCTCAATCAACAAACTTCCAGCCTTCAATTTCTTCAAGTCCATCAAGGTAGGTCTTTTAGTCAGAATATTTAAATATATCATAATAACTTTTTTTCTCCATTATTCATCATGTACAACAACATTAAGTTATTACATCAGAATTTTTTGTTTCCAGTCGGTTTGTGGCACCGCCAAGTGGGTCCACTAGTCGGTACATAGGTCAACACAACAGTCCAGTACCCAGTCCCTACACTCCCCAAAGCCCTGCCACGGGTTACATCCAGCAGTATCCTCACCAACAACCGCCTAGTTATAACCAACACCAACAGATACAACCAGGTAAGTGATTATGTGTTACATGTTTCTATTTATACATGTACAGCAAATATGAACATATGTATGAGCTGTTCTCCAATAACAATATATACTTATGCTTGACTGTTTATTGATTAATTCTTTGCTTTGAAGTTTGTAAGTTTACTTTGATGTAGTTATATATATTTTTAATTTTAGATTTTTCTTTTACTGTACAAGTTAGAAGGGATGAAGCAGTACAGTTCTTACCAGGCATGCATCTATCACATACTTGAGTTTAATCTAAAAATAATAAAACTGTTTTGATTCAGTCTTGCACAGGATATATTATACAAATATGCCTGATACCAATTCTTGTAGTAGTAGTAGTTCCAGCAGTTGCCCATGTTGATGCAATGGAGAACTTTTCTTACAATAATTAATATAAACATTCTTTGCATCATGGAGAGTTGTGAACTGAACTGGAGGCCCTTTAACGTTCTCTGCTTGATCAGAGTTTTACTGATTTGACAACTGTCTTTCAAAGGACTTTGTAGAGTTAAGTGAGTTTTAGTCATTTCATTTAATCCTCATTTGTGTTTTTAGACTTTGCATTTTAATTTTACTAGGTTTTAAAACATCTTAACTAGCTAGATTGATTTAAACAATTGATTATTGTCACAAATTGATTTCAAACAATGGTAGTATAAATGTGTGTTGAGATTAATTCTAGTAAAAAAGTGTTTAACTACAATGGTAAGGTGAAGCCTTTGGCCTTAGCAATGTCATCCTTATCTGTCATTTCCTGCCACTGCTTTCTGTTCACCCTGATGAAGATGTTGAATGGTTCTACATGCAAGTGACTTTGCAATTCAAGTTCCAATAATAAGTACTGAATTATGTTCTACCAGAATGTGTTTATTGTTTCTTTTGCTCGAAATTGCAGTAAATGATATTAATCATCTTTGACCAGAGGTAGAGATGTGTTTTTGTTGTACCATTTTCTTTTACAATTTAATAAGTTGATTACATTTTTTTCATTAATGATTTTCAATATTTGCTATACTGCATTTCTAATGTAAAACATGTCAGATTTGCTTTTCCACCTTTAATCTGTTTGTTTTTTCATCCTGTAGTGGCTGTATCCAGTCCCATGGTTCCAGGCGGCATAAGAAATATCCATGAGGTCAAAGCAACAGGGCAAATGGCCAATGCTGCCAACCACCATTCAGACAGACACGGCACTGAAGACTACCTTAATATTGTACAACGGCTGGGCAGTGAAGTATGATTAATTAGATGCATATACAGTATATGAGTATACTTGCATGAAGGGTCAAAAGTTCTAGGAGCTGTTATGCAACGTTGATCCACAAGGCACTAGTATTTTTTAATAAAGTCTCTCAAGTATGAAATAATCATGAATCACAAGTTGTGTAGAGCTTTATAACTTGATCTCCTTTTTCCTATTATTATTGTTATGTGGAAATACATTTTAGGAACATAAATTACCTACAAATTGGTGAAATGGTTCAGTGAGTGTTCTACATATCAGATGCTTTTTGTAAATGCATACATTTCCTAATTTAAGTTGGGAATGAACAAACTTATTATCAAGAGAAAACATAACCATATCTGTTCTGTCCAGGAGGGTGACTCTACCATGAGGAACCCTTCTTTTCCTCTGAGGTCTCCGCAGTCTGGTTGCTCCCCAGCAGGAAGTGAAGGAACTCCCAAAGGTAGAAATATTATAAAGGGAAAAATATCATATAATTTTTCAGTAGACTCCACCTGACCTGAAGTTATTATTTTTATATGTTCAATTTTACATTAGTGGCTGATGTAATTCAAGAGCTACTTCCATTTTATTCTTTATATCTCATCTTCTTTTCTACATACAGTAATATTTTTTTTGTTTTTCATTTTTTTAATCCGGTTAGCTGGTTCACGTCCTCCACTGATTATGCAGTCACCTCCTCCTTATGCAGCCTCACCAAGGGAGGGAGCACCTGACCTGAAACAGCATATACATCAAAGGATGATGACCAAAGTAAAAGAGGAGAAGGACATGTACGACATCGTCAGCTCTCCAAACAAGGACTCAAGAAAACTCACTCTTAAACTGTCCCGGGTCAAATCAAATGAGTCGGATCCCCCTGGTAAGAGAATTTATTTTTTAATTTTTTTCTATTTAATCTGGGCCTAATAATGTCTACTGGTTTATGAAATGCATTGTTTTTGTTTTTCTGACAAAACTGTTGTTGGTGAAAACATTTTGTATACATTGTCTCAGGTGACAATGCATCAGGCATGGAACAGAACACGGACAACATGGAAGCGGAGCAGGGCTACCAACAGGTTCCTGTTCTACAGCAAAATGTAGCAGCACGGCTGCAACAACTGCCACTCCCTCACCAAGCAGGCAGTGGAGGTGGGCTTCAACCACCCAGTTCACCATACGATGAAGCAGAGCTTGACGCCCTCGCTGAAATTGAGAGGATAGAACGAGAAGCAGCAAGTGAAAAGTGCTCCAAGGAAGTCCAGGATAAAGGTGTGGGGAGTATCTTCATATGTGTATATATCATTGCAAAGTTAATTCTAATTCATTCTCATTGATATGTTTTTCTTTCTTCCTTTTAAAGACAAGCCACTTAAGAAAAGAAAACAGGACTCCTTTCCTTTGGAGCCTGGAGCTGGTGGACCAGGTGGCCCTACAGGTGCACCAGGAAGTGGAGCAACGGGTGGGGGCAGTGATTGCAAACTAACACCGAAAGAGGCCACTGCAGCCGGGAATGGTGCCAGCCGACCGCCCCTTATGGTGAGCATCGACCTCCAGCAGGCAGGCCAAACTGATCGTCAGCTCGACACCTGTCTGGTGGCCCCTATTGCAGTCCTTGAAGCCCAATGCTGGCCTGGAGAACCAGCGAGTGGGTCAGCTGCTGTCGAGAGCTCTGACACGGCTTTGCAGTATAAACCTGATGGGGGACCTGAAGTCATCAAAAATAGGGTTGATAAACATGACAGTAGGAGAGATGGATGGGAGTCATCAAAGCACCAGCATGATGATAGGTCCTCAGACAGAGGGGGAGAAATGCCAAAGTCATCAAACCGTCAAGAACATGGACAAGACAGAGACAGGGATCGAGAATCTGAGAATGGAAGTCGAGTCAGAACTGACAGAGATAGGTCGGGTTTCCGGGATTCCTCCTCTGGAGAGCCTGGTTGGAGCAACAATAGGCAAGATGGCTCCAAAGCGTCTGCTACTGGTGTTCAACTTCCAGATTCATTTCCTGCTCACCTCCTGGGAGGGCATAGTGGTGCTCTGAAGAACTTCCAGATCCCTAAGGTGATCTGGACCAAACCAAACAATTTCTCATCTACCAATCATTCAGCTCTCACAAAAGCAGAGTAAACTGGTGTTCTTGCTGCTTTTGTTTTATTTTTCATTGGCATTCACTTAACTCCTAGAGTTATCTCACTTTAATGTCTCTATGTTAAAACTAAATTTGGTCGTATGTGAGGGGGAAAAGCTGTTTTTTTAACGTATTATTTTGTGAGTTTGTGTTAACAAAATAGGCTACTACAAAAAGTAGTAAAAGCTTTTCACTGACAGTCTGCAAAATGAGCCCACTGTCTATAATCTTTTGGCCAAAAAGTTCTTATGTTATAACTAACTATCTTTTCGCACGTTTAGATGATTTTTTTAACGTATTACAACAGCATGTCTTTGCAAATCCACTGTACAGCAAATGCATGATAACCAAATCTAACACTAAACCAACAACATAACACAACTAAACAGCAAATTCCAATTACTCTGATGAGACTGCAATCAAATTATAGGTTAATGAGAAATGCTTAACTCTGAAATTAAATTCATAAGAAGACAATATCTTAGAAAACTTATGGTTAAATTTGCAATTGTGTAACATACAGCACTGTTTCCCACAGACTGAAATGTTATATGTTTAAAACTGTTATCTGATATTAAATTATCAGTTAACATGATGTGTTTGACCTGTGGTCTTTCTGTAATATACTGTATATATATTTTGTTGTTATAGGATGCGGTTAAAAGATGTTTTCAGTAAAGAGAAAAATAAATATTTTAGTTTATATAATTAAATAAAATCCAACGCCAAAGTCACCTACAATTATTGTGGTTTGGTCTTTCACAGCTTGTTGTGTTAGAAGAGTGGAGTGTTTCTTTGTAAAACTTTACCTATTTTATAGAGACCTACATTAGAATCACAAATATCATGTAACTTTGAGCTTTATTTGTTACATTTTACCTTTGCTTATTTGTTTAACAAGAATACAGTTTCATCAAATTTTAACATAGCTTTTTAAAATTATTTTTCTTCAGATCCAGCGAGACAAGGACAGCAGTGGGACAAGTGAGAGTCAGCCATGGTGTCAGCCCAAAGTCAAATTGGAGAGGCTGGGTTTGGTGAAGGACTTTGAGAAGAGGCCTAAACCTGTAGTGGTTCTGAAAAAGCTTTCAGTTGACCAAATTCAGCGGCTCCTCCGACACAGCAGGTCTGGGAAGAACAGGGTCTCCTCAGGAAAGTCCAGCAAAAGTAAGAACAAAAATTATTAAATCAAATACACTTAAATACTTATTTATGCCTCATAACCTATAAAATTATTTAAAATTTTGGTTTAAAGTTTGAAATGCTTTCGTTATACTGTAGGCGGTATGGACCCAGCAGTTCTGAATGAATTACCTCCAGAGCTCCTGGCAGAGATCGAGTCAACGATGCCACTGTGTGAAAGAGTGAAGATGAACAAGAGGAAACGAAGCACTGTAAATGAAAAACCCAAATATGCTGAGGTCAGCTCTGATGAAGAACGCGATGCTAACGGAGAATGTAAGTCTGCTTCTTGGTTATTCAAATTCATTAACTTTAATTTACAGACAAGTTCCCCGTTGTGAAGTTGCCATTGTTCAAATTTGACATTAATTCTCTGTACAGCTGCAAGGAAGCGACAACGCCGAGACAAAGATCGTTCTTGGGAGTTCGAAGAACGGGAGCGACGAGGTTCAGGGGAACATCGAAAAAGTGGTCAACGTGATGGGCGACGAGGCTCTGGCAGTCGTTACAGAGATTCATCGGAAGACGATTCACCACCTCCAAGCATGAGTGAAGGTTGGTTTGGAAAAACAGTTGAAATGTAAAAAGTACATATTCAAAACAATCTTAAAATAATGATTATAAAATGTAGTTGCCAGAAAAATGAAGATGAAGGAGAAGCAAAAGAAAAGGAAGGCATATGAACCAAAGTTAACCCAGGAAGAGTTGATGGACTCATCCACGTTTAAAAGATTCTTGACGAGCATCGACAACATACTGGAGAATCTAGAGGATGTGGATTTTACTGCTATGGGTATCAATCACTGCTGATTGACAGCTTAGCACTTAACTCCCTAAGTTTTATTATAAATCTTATTTTAATTTGAATTTATTTTTCTTCCTCTATTTCTCAGCGGGTGATGATGATGAGATACCTCAGGAACTTCTGCTTGGGAAACACCAATTAAATGAACTTGGCAGCGAGTCTGCCAAGATTAAAGCCATGGGCATTTCTAACAGGGTAGGTTACAGTTCAGTATTATGTAATGTAGATGCTGCAGAGTGCCTGTAGCTGATGTAAGATTCTGATTAAGAGATGTTTCATTCTAGTTAATGTTTTGTATTGTTGTAGATTCCATCAGATAAACTTGTCAAGCTGTTAAACATACTGGAGAAGAATATCCAGGATGGGGCCAAACTTTCCACCTTAATGAATCATGTGAGCTTCTTCTTTGTTCCTAATGAAGTTTTTCTTAACCTTTTTAAATGAGTCCACTGTGAACTTTTTTGTCTTATAAAGCAGTATAAAGGACAAACTGCCTTATTTTAATGTTTCTTGCTAATTTATTTATATGTTGTTGCACTGTGACATAAAGAAAATGAAGAAGTTGCCCTGCTAGGGAAGCTTGTCAATGATCTAAATTGTTTCTCTGTTTACCCTCAGGACCATGATGCCGAGGATGAGGAGAGACTCTGGAGAGACCTGATAATGGAGAGAGTGACAAAGTCAGCGGATGCCTGTCTGACAGCCCTCAACATCATGACCTCAGGGCATATGCCCAAGGCTGTCTACATAGAGGATGTCATAGAGCGGGTGCTGCAATACACCAAGTTCCATCTCCAGAACAGCTTGTATCCACAGTATGACCCAGTATACCGGGTGGACCCTCATGGAGGTGAGAACATGTTGTCTTGTTCCATTTTGCAGAAATTGTGCACTTTGAATGTAGGTTAGAGCAGTGCAGGTCATAGAACATCAAAGGTTAATGAAGGCATCATTGTTATTTTAGGTGGCTTGTTGAGCTCCAAGGCAAAGCGTGCTAAATGCTCCACACACAAACAGCGAGTTATTGTCATGTTGTACAACAAAGTCTGTGACATTGTCAGCAACATTTCTGAGCTCCTAGAGATCCAGCTACTCACTGACACCACCATCCTCCAGGTAATGACCACATAACAACAATGTATGAGTTTGTCCTTTGGTGTCTTCTAGATTAACTAAGCTCATTTATCTTTTTTCTTTTTTTCAGGTTTCTTCTATGGGAATCACTCCTTTTTTTGTGGAGAATGTCAGTGAACTGCAGCTGTGTGCAATTAAACTAGTGACTGCTGTGAGTTTTAGTTTGGCTTTTGTTCTTCTCAATTTTTAAAGGCACTGCTTAAGGCATCATTTATGAGTTGCTACATCTAAACTTTGAAATGATCTCCAGGTGTTCTCACGTTATGAGAAGCACCGGCAGCTTATCTTGGAGGAGATTTTTACATCTTTGGCGAGACTGCCCACCAGCAAACGCTCCCTCAGGAATTTTAGGCAAGTTACATATTATATGCTAAATTCATATGTCACAATTGAAGTGTAATTGTGCTCTTTGGTAGTACTAATACCTATTAAAATTATAATGTCCTGTATTTTATAGGTTGAACAGTTCTGACCAAGACGGTGAGCCGATGTACATCCAGATGGTGACAGCTTTGGTGCTGCAGCTCATCCAGTGTGTAGTCCACCTTCCCAGTGTTAAAGAAACATTTGAAGAAAATGACACAAAGGTAAAAGGATGAAGGCAAAAAAAAGTTGTAAAATTTTAAATATACTTTACTGTATACTTACCTTTGACACCTACACATATATTTTTTCAACTTTAACAGGTTGATCAAGATGTGTTAATAACCAACTCGTATGAAACTGCAATGAGAACAGCACAAAACTTCCTTTCAGTCTTTCTCAAGAAGTAAGAAACATTTCTTTTGCTCTGAACATTCTGAAATTCTTTACATACTAACTTGGGTTAAACATAATATATCTGCGATGTGGTAAATGCAGATTTGCAATGCAATCCAGAATAATACTACTGGCCAGGCCCTTCTTTTTTATATACAATCCGTTCCACTTATATGTCGCTCGACTAGTACCTCGATTTAATTTTTCCCATTTAAAATAACTAAAAACCAATTAACTTGACAGGTAGGCAGGTGCTTGGCAGACAAAGGAGGAAAAAGAGACCTGGTGGTGGAATGATGAAGTCCAGGAGAGTGTGCAGAGAAAGAGATTAGCGAAGAAGAGATGGGACAGTGAGACAACAGAAGAGAACAGACTGGAGTACAAAGAGAGGACAAGGGAGGTGAAGAGGGAAATGGCCAAGGCCAAACAAAAGGCATATGAGGAGTTGTACGAGAGTCTGGACACAAAGGAAGGAGAAAAAAAGTTGTATAGATTGGCAAGACAGAGAAATCAAGCTGAGAAGGATGTGCAGCAGATGAGGTTGATTAAGGACAGAGAGGGGAATGTAATCACAAGTGAGGAAAGTGTGCTGAAAAGATGGAAGGAATACTTTGAGGAGTGGTTGAATGAGGAAAATGAAAGGGAAAGTAGAAACGAGGAACCAGAGACTATTAGGAAGAAGGTAGATCAGGTTAGAAAGGATGAAGTTAGAAAAGCCCTGAAGAGGATGAAGAGTGGAACGTCAGTTGGTCCCGATGACATACCAGTGGAAGTATGGAAGTGCTAGTTTTCCTGACTGGGTTGTTTAACAGAATTTTAGAGACTG